TCCGAAGCTGCCAAGACGCCGCAAAGGGCCCCAAAGATGCGTCCCACGAGGGTCCCAAGAAACAGACATCGTCTCATTCCCTCTTTATATATATATACACACACATACATATACATATGCATGTATGTATGTATGCATGTATATATAATAAATAATGATCATATATATATATATATATATATATAATGTCGCATACTCGCCTTTTCGGTTTTCACAACGTTCACGACGGGCAAAGAAGCCTTCAATATCGCCCCTCGACGGCCGAAGGGGCCCGCAAGAAGGGTCGAAGAGGGTCCAAAAACAACCCACAAAACCCCCAAGACAGCCCAAGCGGGCCCCCAGACGGCTTTAAGAGGGAGTCCAGAGGGCACCTTTTCGAGCCTTCGGCCCCAAGACGCCCCCAGCCTGCCCCAATAACACCCCAAGAGGCCCTGATGGACCCCAAGAGAACCTCAAAGGCCTCCAAGACGCCACCAGGAAGCCCCCAAGAGGCCCCAAAACTTGGCCAGATATGGCCTGCTGACAGGCAAGATACCACCAAAAGGCCACAAATGAGCACCAAGAGGTACGATAACAGCAACGAAGCAGCAAGAACGATGTCGAGCGCCGTGTCATGATTCGGACAAGCCTCGTGAAATGCAGCCCTGGAGGCGCAGCAGTTTATATAGGGGTCGGCGGATGTGGCGTAAGCCTAGAGAACAAATACAAAAGCATAAGTCACACAGCACCCAGAAGCCGCAACAGCGACTCTCCCCCAAGGGGTCGGCGGTGCGGCGTACGCCAGAGAGTCTTGTTGGCCCTTGCGGATCGACGCTCATGAGCGCTGAATCGACGCTGAATCGAAGCTCATCGACGCCAAGTCGGCCTCTTCTCATCGATGGCCAGACGCAAGCGGACGCGAGTGCACTCTAACAACGGAATTGCGAGGACATACAAGGCACCCATGATGTGTACCGGGAACAGAGGGCCGCCTTGGCCGAAGCCAGGAACGGCAGCGGCGGCGGGAGGCGGGTGCGGCAGGGCGACGACATCTAGGTAAGTCCACTGGCCCTGGCCAGGCCCATCCTGGGTACAGGGGCGGTGCACAAGCCCTCCTGGCTTGACCAGGGAGGCATATGTATGCATACATATATGTATATATACACGTATATGTCGGCGGTGCCCCGTGGCCCAAACCCCCCCCAGTACTACTGGGGGGTTTCGTGCAGGCAACCCCGGGTGCCGCCGACGGCTCAGAAACCCCCCCCTGTCACTTTACCAAGACGTTTCGTGCAGGCCGCACTGGGAGGGGGTTCGACCTGGACCCCGCCCCTGTGGGAGTGGGGGGTGGAAGTGGGGGATGGGGGTGGGGCGGGGGTGCGGGTGGGGTCGGGGGTTCTCTGTGGAAGTGTGGCGTCTTGGAACACCCTTGGGGTCCAATCGAGTCGTCTTGGGGCTGCAACTCCCGGGTGGACCACCTGCCCCTGACGACGTTCCGAGAGAGGTCGACGGAACTGACGCGTACAGAAGAGCGGTGCCGCCTTGCTCTGGCACGTCCTGGGGGCGGTCACGCATCTGGGTGGAGGTTCGCGCATAGCGGGGGGGTTCGTGCAGACCGGGGGGGTTCGTGCTTGCCGGGGGATGTTCGTGCCGGCTACCGGGGGGATATTCGTGCTTACCGGGGAGTTTCGTGCCGGCGCGCACCGGCGGTGCCGCCAGCTCGAACCCCCCCAGGATGGAGCTTACTATGGGGGGGGCTCGCTCCGCACCGGGCACCGCCGACAGTTCTGCACTGCGAGGCGGGGGCCTAACCGTATCCACTGCCTGTGGAGCCGACGCCCTGGGTCCCCAGTGGGCGGAGGATGTGGACATATTTGCCCCCCCCCCCACGGGCCCGAACATCTCAATATCCGCCGCCTGCCGACGCCCCCGAAGTGGCCATGAACAGATCCCCGCCTGGGATATGCATGCCGCCCCGCTGCCCAGGATGGCCCTGGCCGGGACCCTGGGGCCCCCTGGCGGAGCATCCGGCGCCGCCCCTGGCGCGCTCCGCGCGCCAGGGAGGGGGGTCCAGCGCCGATCCGAGAAATCCGCGCGGACCTCCGAGCTTTCATGTTTATGCCACTTTTTGCTCCCCCAGGGAAGGGGAGGGCCGATCACGGCCATTAACTATCGCCCAGACCTTTTTGCTTTCTGGCTCCAGGGGCGGTGGACACTGTGCAGATCTCGCCGATAAAAGCGCGGGAGGCGGAGAGCCCAGGGCAGCGCCCGTGCCAACCGTGGATGCCACGACAAGGGACACCCTATCAGTCCTGTCCTTAAATTTGAGAGGTATTTAAAGTGTCGGAAACCTTTTTTTTTCATCGCATCGCCTCGACAGCGCCACGGGCTGTCTGAACTATCACGGGGCGCCTTCACGCCTCGTGGCGCGCGGCTGGACGCCGCAAAGGGCCTGAGCATAGATTGCCTCAAGGCCAGAGTGCACAAGGATGAGGAGAACCCTAGCATCGACCCATTCTACAAAGTTTTAGAAAACATGTTCCAAACATGCGAACCGACGCCTGGACCCGCAAAGAGGACGGCCGCGACGCCCCCTCGCGAACCGAAAACGGCCAATTCCTTGATCGACGCGTCAGGGTAGGAGGTCTGTGTTCAAAAAATGTCGGAGACATGCTCCAGACATGCTTCAGAACATGTTGTTTTTCACATGCTAAGAACATGTGTGACACATGTCTTCGACATCTGGAGAGTACTTGGCAACACGCTTCCTCTCCACTGATCTCACCAGCCTGGAACACATCCCCATCCCTGTGTGGGGGGCATCGCCTCATCGCGATGGCG